CCCTGTGCTCCCTCCTTCTCCTGGGCAGGCATGTGCTCTGAGCTAGGAAGGGACCCGGGGTCCCTCCTAAAAGGAGGGCAAAGGAGAACACCCGTGTGCCTTCCTGGCTCAAACCCAAGGTCACACTGATACAGCACTCCAAACATCGCTCCATTTCCGAGAACAGTGCAATAGTAAAAAAAAATTGGGCTTTCTGCAATGATTACTCCTGTTTTACAGCTGCTTTTTTATGGCCGGGGGTATCACGAAGGCAGGAATGCGTCTGTCTGCCGGGCAGCTTAGAGCCCGTGTTCCCACTTTATGGCCGCGACAGGGCGGCTTCTCAGGGGTCACTGTCACCGCACAGCCAGACATCAAACAGAATAAAACACGTTAAAGATTAAATCTATTATATTGCCCCCCCCCAACCAGGTCAGCGAGGTCCAAGGAAGTAGTGTTTTGCTTCCTTGTCCTCGCAGGCAGCTTCTTGGGAAGGCAACAAGATCTGTTGACCTCCATAACACTTTGCACTAAATCCGGCTTCGTTTTCCCACGATAGCCCTTAGCACAGTGGTTCTCAACCTTTTTAATGCCGCGACCCCCAACCGGTCGTAAGTCGAGGACTACTCAACGGGTGCAGCCCCGTTTGCAGAATGGGGCTTTGGGCGGGCTCAGCAGGGCAGAGACAGCCTGGACAATTCCTATTGGCTTTGGAAAGCCAATAGAACAGTGTTTCTCAACCTGTGGGTGGGGACCCCATTTGGGGTCGAACGACCATTTCACGGGGGTCGCCAAACAACGCAGTCCGCCATTTTCCCCCCCTTTTCCTTAGCTGTGCTACTCCCTTTTATTCTATTGGCTTTTGAAAGCCAATAGAATAGACTCGAATAGAATCTAATTCTATTGGCCTTCAAAAGCCAATAGGAATTGTCCAGGCTGTCTCTGCCCTGCTGAGCCCGCCAAAAGTCCCATTCTGCAAATGGTGCTGCACCAGTTGAGTAGTCCTCGACTTACGACCGGTTGAGTAGTCCTTGGCTTACGACCGGTTGGGGGTCGTGGCATTAAAAAGGTTGAGAACCACTGCAATAGAATTAGACTCTATTCAAGAGAGTCTGTTCTATTGGCTTTCAAAAACCAATAGAATAAAAGGGAGTAGCACAGCTAAGGAAAAGGGGGGGAAAAATGGCGGACTGCGTTTTTTGGTGACCCCCGTGAAATGGTTGTTCGACCCCAAATGGGGTCCCGACCCATAGGTTGAGAAACACTGCCTTAGCAATAGCCCTTAGACCTATATACCGCTTTGCAGTGCTCTTACAGCCCCCTCTGAGCAGTTTACAGAGTCAGCATATTGCTCCCCAATAATCTGGGTCCTCATTTTATCAACTTCAGAAGGATGGAAGGCTGAGTCAGGATGGAACTCCTGGCTGTGGGCAGAGTCAGCCTTCAATGCTGCATTTTAACCATTGCATACCATGGTTGGATGGATGGATGGATGGATGGATGGATGGAAGGAAGGAAGGAAAGGAAGAACAATAGCAATACGGCTTAGACTTATATACCACTTTACAGTGCTTTTACAGCCATCTCTGAGTGGGTTTACAGAGTCAGCCTGTTGCCCCCCAACAATCTAGGTCCTCATTTACCGACCTTGGAAGGATGGAAGGCTGAGTCAACCTTGAGCCGGTCAGGACCGAACTGCTGGCAGTGGGCAGAGTCAGCCTGCAATGCTGCATTCTAACCATTACATACCATGGATGAATGGATGGATGGATGGAAGGAAGGAAGGAAGGAAGGAAGGAAGGAAGGAAGGAAGGAAGGAAGGGAAGAACAATAGCAATAGCATTCAGACTTATATACCGCTTCACAATGCTTTACAGCCCTCTCTAAGCAGTTTTTACAGAGTCCGCCTATGGCCCCCAACAATCCGGGTCCTTATTTTATGAACCTCAGAATGATGGAAGGCTGAGTCAACCTTGAGTCGGTTAGGATTGAACTGCTGGCAGTGGGAATACAGAGTGAGCCTGCATTAGCGCATTCTAACCACTATGGTTCTTTCACCCTAATGCCTGGTAGACCCCAATAGGTTGAGCTCACACACCACGCCAGGAAATGGATCTCTGCCTTCTTGAACTGTGCTTATATTTCCTCCTTTCTGTGTGCAGGTTATTTTTTTGGGGGGGGGGGGGGACAGAGGCTAGAAACGGTTCGGACATGGCGCACCCTTCACACACAACCCCGGGAGCCTGTGCTAGCTCTGGGGTTGCAGAGCCCATCCTCCCTTCTGGCCTCTCCCAACACCGTCCATTCACCCGCTCACCAGGCCCAGCCAGAAAACAGCTGGCCTGATGTGGGCCAATCAAAGAAGCAACCGGGTCCTGGACAGAAAACGCAGGCACAAAGCTGAGAGGGTGAATTCCGAGGGTGAGCCGAGGTGGCGCAGCAGTTAGGGTGCAGTACTGCAGGCCACTTTAGCTGACTGTGTTCAGCAGGTCAGCGGTTCAAATCTCACCGGCTCAAGGTGGACTCAGCCTTCCATCCTTCCGGGGTAGGTAAAATGAGGACCCAGATTGTTGGGGGCAATGTAAATATATATATATATATATACATTGCTTATTGGTGTACACTGCTTAGAGAGTGCTTGCACTTAAAGCGGTATATAAGTCTCATAAATAAATAAATAAATAAATTCCGACAACTACAGAGCACCACCGGAGACGTGATTAACTCAACCAATCGGAATAGAGCTGGAAGGGACCTTGGAGGTCTTTTCTGTGAGGGTTGACCAAAATGGACTTCCCAAAGCTTAATTTTCTCAGCACCTTTGTCTCCGAGGTTGGAACATGGGAAATCTTAGGAAGGAGAAAGAGAAGCTTTTCCAGAGATAATTTCTTCAGCACCTTCTCGAATTTCATTTCAATTTGGTGTCTCTGAAAACCCAAGGCCCTCACAGCTAACCATGCAAGGGAACGCAAGACAGCACACTGTAGATAAATTGGTCCGGCTTTCTGGAAAAACGCCGCCTCTGGAGAAACCAGCCAGAGAAATCACCAGGAAAAGCCAAATAAACGTGTTTACATTTTCAGTGAGAATTACTCAAAAGGGATCAGCAGGAGCTTCTGGGTAAAACCACGAGGAACTGGAGCAGGAAATATTTCTTCCGTATATGAAGGTTGAGCCAAACTGACTTTCAAGAAGGGGCAAAGAGGCACTTGTCGATCTTGCAAACGTTTGTCGTTTTAAGTTGCTAACCCTGAGTTCTAAACAGATGCAAATCCAGTCCAAAGTTTGTTTATTTTGGCAGAATTTGCATGTGGGAAGGGGGACGGTTGTGGCCCACCACTAGTTAGAGGTAGATTTAGAGGCTAAGAGTAGAGCGATGAAGGACAAGCTGCAAAAAAAATCAGGGGAGGAACTTGCCAAAAAAGAGAAGGACGGGAATCCTTCTGAACCTTTGGATTGAGATGGGATCGTGATCTCAGCCAGGAACGCAAAATTGTCGGAAATACAAATGTGCAGCAGCTCTGCCCTTCTTGAGGTCCTGGGCAAGGTGGCACGATACCCAGGCCTTCCCGCATTTCTCTCCCGTCAGCTCCACTGCCACCCCGCCCCAGGCTTGGCCTGGCCTTGCCTTTGGGCCTTGTGGATGGAGAGCTCCTGGCAAGGGCCTGGCTGGACACCTCCTCAACGGGAGCCTGGAGAGCTGGCTGCGGTCCTGCTTTCCACAGACCTGCCCACCGTGAGAGCCTCTTGAGAAGGGGAAGGAGATGCCCACCCTGGCCCACATTGGCTGCCCTCACTCTGCGCTTAGAAGGGGGCAGGACAGTCGCAGAGTGGAAGAGAGGCATCACTTAGGATAGTCCTGACTGCTGGGTAAAGATCCCGCACGGGGCATCCAGCCCTGACAGAACCACATCACTCTCCTGCGAGCCCTCCTAGGGAAAGATCTGGCCTTAGCAAAAAAAAAAAGAAAAAAGCCCTCTTAATGCCCCGGAGAGAGGCAGTGGGGCGTCAGTGGGAATTCAGGAGACGGGCAGTTTTCTACCCTCCGTATCTCTTTAGAAGGGGATCGGTGCCAAGGTACCAGATGGGTCGAAAGAAGAGAAATCTTAAACGTGGGAAGCGGGCAGGCAGAGGAAGGCACCGACTTGAAAGGCGGCAGTGTTCAGCAGGTCAGCGGTTCAAATCTCACCGGCTCAAGGTGGACTCCGCCTTCCATCCTTCCGGGGTAGATAAAATGAGGACCCAGATTGTTGGGGGCAATGTAAATATATATATATATATATATATATATATATATATATATATATATACACATACATACATACATACATACATACATACATACATTGCTTACTGGTGTACACCGCTTAGAGCAGTGGTTCTCAACCTGTGGGTCGGGACCCCATTTGGGGTCGAACGACCATTTCACGGGGGTCGCCAAACCACGCTGTCTTCCATTTTTTTCCCTTTTCCCTAGCTGTCCTACTCCCTTATTGGTGGCCACACCCACTTGGGGGTCACCACAAAATGGGGAACTGTATTATGGGGTCATGGCATTAGAAAGGTTGAGAACCACTGGCTTAGAGAGTGCTTGCACTTAAAGCGGTATATAAGTCTCATAAATAAATAAATAAAGCAAGCAAGCAAGCCATGCCCATCGTTTGCACCAGCCAGGCTGGGGGGTCTCCGTTCTGCTGCTTTTCATTCCAGCCAAAGGAGACCTCTGATTTGGCAGGGAAGGGGGGGGGAGGGAGAGGGAAGCTGCCCAGGGCAGAGATGCTGAAGCTGGGGGGGGGGGCTTTGCAAGCAGACAATGCCAGGAGCCAGAAGAAGGGAATGGGGGGGGGGCAAAGCCGCTTCGTTTCTCCCCCCTCCCGACTGCCAGGTGCTGAGACGGGTAAAAGCCTTCCCTGCGCGCGCGGGGAAGAACCCTCGGGGCTCCGGCGGTCGCTGTTGCGCGGAGAGCCGGCAAGGCAAAGCAAGGCAAGGCGGGGCGGGCGACGGAGGAGGGGGGGGGCCTCGGAGGCTTGTCCCCGCCCCTTCCCTCGGAGTGGAATTTTCCCGAGCAGCGGCGAGGCCGAGATGCGCAGCATAAAAGCGAGTCGCGAAGCCTCGGGGCAAACGGGGCGGCTGCGGAGCGCGGCGCAAGGTGAGCGGGCCAGCTCGTCCCGGGGCAGAACAGCAGGTGCGCCGGGTAGGCGGGCGTCGGGGCGGCGCTCCGAGGCTGGGAGGACGGCCGGTGGAGCTTCCACCTTCGGGAGCAGTCTAGCTCCGACGGCGCGCCCGTCCGGGTCCCTTCCCCTACGAGGGACACGCCGGGAGGGATGCGCAGGGGGGGGATCTGGGGAGGGGGCGGCGGAAGTCTACGGGGCGACCCTGAAGGTGGGGCAGACCCCCCCCTCCCCCGTTCCAGCCCAGTTTTTTGAGCAGGTGGGGGCCCCCCAACATCCTGGTGGGGACTCTCTGCAGGCTGCGATCCCAGCCTCTCCACCTGCCCAGAGCGCTCCCTGGATCCCCCTCCCCAGGTTGCCCCCTCCCCTTGGAGCCCTGGAGGGGAAGGCGACGGAGGGCAGGAAGTTCCGAACGGGGGGGGCTTCTCTCCCGCCCCCCCTCCCCTTGAACCCTCTGCCCCCAAACCCACTGACCCAGGAGTGCAGAAATCCAAGAGGAGTCAGCTGGAAGGAATTTGGCCAGGGAGGCTGGGAGAGGGTGTGTGGGATCCAACGCCCACTGACTCCTGGGGTGCGTGCCTCTTCTCCCATTGGAGGTTTGGGGACTGAAATCCGCCCCCTTGCCCAGCCCATGGCATCCCAGCTGGCATCAGGCCTCAGAGTGCACAGGGACCCGTTTTTTCTCCCCCTCCCTCCCAGGCTAGCTGGAGCTGACAGGCTGCTCAACCAAAGCTCTGCTTCTTCCCTCCCCCCCCCCCACTTGCCAGGGGAATCCCCAGCTCCAATTCCCGCAGCATCCATTTCTCAGACACACTTGCCAAACCGAGTGAGTTAGAAACCACCTACGGTAAAAATGGGCTGGTCTTCCCCCCTTGGGGCGAATCCAGCGTTGTTTCTTCGCAGGTAAACGAAAAGAGGGTGGTGAGGATGGGGAAGAGCACAGGGTGGGGTACGCTGAAGTCAAATCCACCCACCCACCCCCCGTCTTTCGCCAAAAGAAGCCGTCCCCACCCGTCGCCGGGATCCTCGCAGGCAAATGGGAAGGTTCGCCCTGCTCTCCAGGCCGTTCGCCAGCTGTCCTCCCAACAGCTGTGACGGGCACTGGGCAACGCTGCCCGGTCTTTCCTTTTACGCTCCAGCCAGTTCCATACTCCACGGGATGAACTCTGCTGAGGATCTTTTTTTTTTTTTAAAAAAAGGTATTTTCATCCTGGCTTTTATTTTTTATTTTTTAGAAATAACTCCAGGCGGTTGGGATACCTGATCCTCCACCCTCCTTCGCTTGTCACCCTAAGCAGATTCCCTGCGAGGTAAGTTAGGTTGAGACAACAGGCTGGCCCAAGGTCACCCAGCGGGCTTTGATGGCTGAGGTGGGACTGGAACTCACCGCCGCCTGGCCTTATTTATTTATTTATGAGACTTATATACCGCTTTAAGTGCAAGCACTCTCTAAGCCAGTGGTTCTCAATCTTTCTAATGCCGTGACCCCATAATACAGTTCCCCATGTTGTGGTGACCCCCAAGTGGGTGTGGCCACCAATAAGAGGAAGTAGGACAGTTAGGGAAAAGGGGAAAAAATGGCGGACAGCGTGGTTTGGCGACCCCCGTGAAATGGTCGTTCGACCCCAAATGGGGTCCCGACCCACAGGTGGAGAACCACTGCTCTAAGCGGTGTACACCAGTAAGCAATGTATATATATGTATATATTTACATTGCCCCCAACAATCTGGGTCCTCATTTTACCTACCCCGGAAGGATGGAAGGCTGAGTCAACCTTGAGCCGGTGAGATTTGAACCGCTGACCTGCTGAACACAGTCAGCTAAAGTGGCCTGCTCTAACTGCTGCGCCACCTCGGCTCACGTGGTCTTCTTAACTTGGTGCGGTGAAACTGGCTGCAGCCCCATGAAATGATCTACCCCACTTGGGAGTCCCCTCTGGGCTTCCCCTGACCCACCCTCCCTTCATCCCTGCCTCTTAATAAACCTGGGCTGCCCCCCAACGCCATGGGTTGATGCTTGCAGCCTGGGAAAAGGCTAGAATTGCTGGCTTGGCCGGGAGCTGAAACTCGCTCGTTGTTTACAAGTGGACAAAACCCCTCTGTGCTCTGTTTTTATGGCTCCCTCTGCCAAGCGGCAGGCCGGGCGGCCTCTAACGGCCCCGTTTCATCAATTTCAGAGACGTCAGTGGGCAAGGATTTCTGGCTGACAGCTGACCACAATGTGGATAGTATCGCCCCCTTCTGGTAAGTCAGAGGCAGACCTCCAGCCCCAGCCCCCCTTCATCCAGGCCTCCACTCTCCCCAACCAATGGCTGGTCTTCAACGGGCAGCTCGGTTCTTTCCCTCTCCCTCCCCCCCCCAAAATAAACTGGGAACCAGAGAGGCATAGAATCCAGGAAGGAAGCCACCCCAAAGGCAACGTGGTCCCCTTTGGTCCCCAAAGGGTGAAAGGGCAGTCAATTGAGCTCAGCTGAGACTTACTTCCATCCACCGCACCGGCCTTCTTCTGCTTCCCTTGCCCTGAGGGGAGCCGTCCTTGGGATGCCAGCCAAACAGAGGTGCGCCCCTTTTTCCCAACCCTGCAGGGCTGCCAGGGTGCCTCAGTCTCAGCCCGGTGCTGCAGGAGGGCAGAAAACACAGCTGTTTTCATAGAAGGCTGCCAGCCCAGAAGAAAACACCCCAGCCTAGACCAACCTAGGATCCTCCCCCCCCCCCAAAGACCCTTTGGTGTTGGGTCTCTGGCCTTTTTTCCCCATCTCCCTTCCCTTCCACCTCTCCTGGTACGGCTGTTCTGCTGCAGCGTTATCTTCCCTGGGGACCCAAGCTAAGCACATCTGGAAGGAGCCAGGTTTACAGTCTTGATTGCTAGAAGTTAACTGCTGTGTTCCCCCCCCCCATCTCGCCTGGCTAAGGGTGATGCTTGAACAGACCCTGCTGAGGGTGCCTGTCTGAAGACCGTGAGCCACAAAAGCTGGTCAATACGTAATCCAGAGGTTTGTTGCATTGTGGCAATAGATTGTTTGGAAAGCTGGGTGTTTGGCCCCGGGCAAAGTCTGGCATAGGAACAGAAGGGGGGAAAAAAACCTCAACGCTCAAGAGAGAGGCACCCACAGATTCCCTTGGGCTCCCCACAGATTCCCTGGGATTCTGATTTGGATACAGATTGTTCCGGCAAGCTTAAAACAGTCGGAAGGGGTGCTTGATTTGAACTTTGCTCCTTTCTCAGCGAGGGGTTTTTGCACTCAAAAAAACGGCCAATGAATATGTGGATGCGTTCCAAGGCATGTGAAAAAAAAGGGGAGGATCTGTTTTTGCTTCGTTTGCGGGGAAGGGGCTCGCCATCCTTGCCCCTGCCCTTTTATCTTGGGACTGCTTTGAGGCCCTGAACGAAACGGAGGGCGCCGCTTCCTGCCCCACCCCCAGGCCTTTTGACGTGGTCTCCTTTCCGCGCAGCCCTCCGTATCTCAGATCTATTATCTGGAACCACGTGAAATCCTCTGGGCAGCTAAGCCCAAAGCCCGCAGCTGCCCAATGAGGCAGAGAATCCAGGGCGCTAGAGATGCGGGCAATCAGTCATCCGTGGAGTTCCAGAGCTGAGTCAGCACTTGCCGTCCTGCTGCAGCCACCTCTTCTGCCAGGCGGGCTGGCCGTTTGGCCGTGGGAGAGGCAGCTTCAGAGGCTGATGACACGGCTGGCTGCCTGTGCAGCCTAGGGTATAATGCACACACGGGCAGAATGAACTAACCGTGTGTGTGTGTGTGTGTGTGTGTGTGTGTGTGTGTGTGTGTGTGTGAGAGAGAGAGAGAGAGAGAGAGAGAGAGAGAGAGAGAGAGAAGAAGCGGCGCTTAGGGAAGAGCTGACTTCCTCTGCGTGTTTCTGCCAACGCGCACGGGCTTCCGACACGCAGGACGAACGCAGCTGGTCTTGTAACGCCCAATGTCTCCTTTTTGCAAATAAGAAGGGAGCGTGCTTAGAGGAGGGACGGGACGGAGGCGCTCCAGGCACTTCTTCGCAGCTGGCCCGGGGATCCTCTCGGCTTCTCACTCTTTCCGGTGTCTTCCAGGAGTCTTCCAGTACACCAAGAAGCTTTTCTTGAGGGAGCAGGCAGGCCGTGCGCAAGCCGTCGAGTTCCTGCGCAAGAATGCGGCCAACTCAATCTCCATGGCCAACCTCCTCATGGGCCTCTTCTCCGTCCTCTGCAGCCTCAACGGGTAAGTGGAAGGTCGGCCCGGAGCTCTCTCTGTTCAAGGAGGGATCGACACTGGGCGGATTGGAAAGATCCCAGCCAGGGCCTCGGCACCACTCTTGTGCCACTGCAGGGAACTGTGGGGCACGGTGACCACCTGGCTGTATATTTTCACACAGCAGTTTCTTTAGCCTCTGTGCTGGCTAAGCCAAGCTGCAGTCCTGTCCTTCTGCCTCCGTAGGCGAGGTTGGGATCTAGCTGGATTCAAGACAGAGAGAATCCCGACTGTCCAGGCCCTTCTGGATCCAGAGATCGGGAGGGATGGCAGCACCTGCTGTGGGTGGGAGACGGGGAGAGCATCCACGGACACCAGGCCAGGAAGCAATCTTGCCTTTTTCTCCTCCAGGCATTACCACTACGCCTGCTGGTTAGTCCTGACTGGATTCGTGCTGGACCTTGCCGACGGAGCTGTGGCGAGGCAACTCAACGCCTGCTCTGCCTTGGGTGAGTCCCCCCCCATTCCCTTTGGGGCCTTCCCCTCCCACTCACTTTAGTTAGGGATCACCAAGATCTGGCCAACTTCCAGACGTTGTAGGATGTGGAAACAGCCAAGCTACAGAATAGGTGGTCCTTAAAAGAGAGGCACCAAGGGAGAATCCAAGAAAGAGGAAGTCACAGAGCCATGGGAGAATGGGAGAGGCCTCGGTCCTTCCAAGAAGTCCGTGGCTGCTATTTAGAGAGCCATGGGCCACTTCTTTCAAACCGAAGGAGACCTGGAGCTGGGTCCCATTTCACTGTCTTAAATGTGGCTTGAATGTCATTTTTGATGTGTGCCGTTGTGCCCACAGTAAAAAAAAATGACAATAAAGGTTATCTTATCTTATCCTATCATCATTGGCCCATCAATCCAGAGAGTTTTTCTAGCTGGGTCCCTTTCCTTGGTCAGCATCTGGAGGGTGCCAGATGGGAAGGATGCCTTGATTTCCCCCCATTTGAGTCCTCTTTTCTGGAAGTCTCCACTGCAAGTGAGCTGGGTAGTGTCTGGAGAGAGGTCATCCCAAAAAGAGGGAGCACTGAGGTTATTATTTGGTTTCGCGTCATCCAATGAATGAAAGCTAAGACCTCTGACCTCGGCTAGTGACTGTGGGCAGATCCTGGCTTTGGACAGAAGACTAACCACGTCCCTTTTTGCCTCGCCTGCAGGGGCTAAACTGGACGACTTTGCCGACTTCACGTCCTTTGGCCTGGCCACGGGGCTCTTGCTACAGGCCCACGAATTCCTCGGTGGCCTGCTGGTGATCGTCTACGTGCTGGCGGTGTTCACGCGGCTGTGCTTCTTCTCCAGTGGTGAGTCTGCAGTTGCGCCTGGGTGGGAAAGGATCTCATGGGGGGGGCAGAGGGGGGCTTTTAAAAAGTTGTCCCCTCCCCTTGACGCCGCAAGTAGTCATTGCCAGCTCTTTCTAGGTTTAAGAGGAAAAGAGACAGGAAAAGTGGCGTCTCGATTCCGTGCTTTGTAAAAAGATTCTGGGTGCCGCAGTTCCATAAAGAAACTGGTGCGCTTTTCAACGTACTTCCAGCTGGTATTTTAACCTATCCAACAGTACAAAGGGATCTTTGTGATGACACAACGTAGCCCGTCTTTTTTGTGTGTGTGGCTAGGGGACACTGGACTACGTCTGCACCTCTGTGGGATTGGTGCCTATCTTTTCTCCTCCTCTTCATCTGCAGGGATGCCCTTTATGTACCGGGGCTTGCCATGCCCCTATGGCGCCTCCATGGTAGCAGCCACTTACTTCCTGACCGGTGGTCACCTCGTGGCTATGCGCCTGATGGCGATCGTGATGATCCTCTTCATGGTGGACCAGGGTTTCTACCCCCACGACAAGGTGCTAGAATCCCAGGCTTGGAAAAAGGCCATCTTTGCAGGAGGTATGTCCAGAGTCTTTCCTGGCCTGCCCAATCTGGAAATCAAATGTGAAGGCGTTCCTTTTTCACGAGACTAGGCTTGTCTCTCTTTGTAAAAAAAAAAAAAGGCTTATTTGCAGTCACTTTGTAGATTCAGACATAGTTTGAGCCCATCTAATCACCTCTAAAAGTTTGAGCTGGTCTTTGAAAGCTCAGAAGTTGCTTTGCTAAGAGTCTAGAGCAGGGGTCCCCAACCCCCGGTCCACGGACCAATACTGGGTTGTGGCATGGCAGCAATCGGTCCGCACAAACAAGCAAAGCCCCATCCGTGGGATGCAAGCAGCACACAAAACCAGCACCCTTCGGTCCGTGGAAAAACCTTTCTCCACGGAACCAGTCCCCAACCTTTTGGGCACCTCTGGTCTAGAGGGACATTTGATTGCTCCAAAATCTGGACACTGCAAGTCTCATTAGACCCTGGCTAAAAAATAAAAATTAAAAACAGAGACTATATGGTGCGAGAAGCTAAAATGGTTCGGTTTGGGGGAAAATTAAAATGTTAAGCGCCCTTCGCGCTTAAATGTGCAAACAAGCCTGGATTCAGGGGAGAGTGAGGTCTTTACTGATGTTGTCTCACGTCTTCTGAATCTCAAACTCCACAATTCCCAGTTCCAGTTGATCCCTTTCCTTGCAAGACTTTAGGGTAAACAGAAGTGAACAAACTGCTCCCGTTTCCTCTGGGGGAAAAACCTGAATGGGTGGGGATTGCAGCAAAGGTGCGCTGATACTCCAGAGAGCAGGACTAACGGGACTTTGGCCCCCATAAATCAGCTAATCTGCAGCGGGAATCCACCGGTGATCTTGAGGCACAAGACTGTTGTGTCTGATGGCCTAAAACTGAAAGCCGACGGGTCTTCAAAATATCACGTGGTGATAGCCAAGGAAGGGATATAGAATCCGATCTAGCTCGCCGCATCAAAATGTTTAATTCTTTCACCCTTGGCCATTGTAGGTATCTTGGTGCTCCTGTTTCATGCCTCCTTCCTGGCCTCCCTCTATTTCCTGATTTGGTCTGTATCGTACATTTTTTTCCCCAACACTTTGTGGAGTTACAAAGTCTAGCCTCTTTGATGGACGTTGAGTGGACGATGCCAGCACTGCACCCTGCCGAGGCAGTCTTCGGCGACTGGGAAGACGGACGGATCCAGTGTTAAAAAATCCACATTTTGCCTAATGTTTTTCATCACCCTGAGGTGATAAAACGTCTGGGAGGTTTAGCCACTTTCTAGCAGCGTTTCCCTTGCTGGGCTGCCAGTTGCCTGAGGAACGAAGTCAATAGCTGGCTAACATGCTGAGCCCTTGGTCAGTGTAGATATATACAGAATATTTTTACTGATAATATATATATATATATAAAGTGCAATATAGTTTTAAGAGGCAAATTCTTGCTTCGTTTTTTTTTTTCCCCCCCAAGCCAGTAATTTACTCGCTGATAGCTTTCAGGGACAAGGGGAAAACTTGAATACAGACCTCTTCTCTTGCCACTTTCCCCTCTTGTGATGTTCTCACTCTGGACACATCAGAGGCCCTTCCTTCTTTAACCTGATTTTTGCAACAAGTGAGCGAGCTGAATTTGCAACCTTGGCGCTGAGGCAGAAGGAATTCCCATTGCTTTCGGAGCCAAATTTGGCCCTTAAGAGAAAGAGGAAGTTACCCCTCACGTGACTGCCCTCTTGTTATCCAGGGCCTCATAAGTAGCAGAAGAGCAAAGTCCGGCTCTTAATGAGCGAGATGATATTAAACTACCTTTGACCCACAACTGCTAGTCAAACTCTTTGCTCTTTGAAAGACGCCACTGCTTTCCAAGAAAGTTGCGGTCTGTGCACACGTTCTATATGTGGGTGAGTAGCCTTTCCACAGAGTAGACAGGAAGCAGGACACCTGAAAAACCTCAATGTGCCATCCAGAATCTAAGCCAACTTTCACCAACATGGGGAGGAACTGCTGCTGGAGACAGTTTGGGAATGATTCCCTGCAGCTGGGCCTCCAAATCAAGTCCGCATCTTGTGTAAAGAAAGACTTCCGGAAGCAGATTGCCAAGCAAACAGGCCAGTAATTCTCCGTAATCCAGGTCAGGGTTGTCCCAAAGGTGCTTTTTTTTTTTTCTTTGAAGATGTTTCGCTTCTCATCCAAGAAGCTGCTTCAGCTTTGGACTAAACTCCTTCAGAGGAATTCCACCCTGCTGTAAGTATGTGGACGATACTTGGGTCAAGATGAAAACACAGGAATTGGAAGAGGTGAAATGTCTTCAAAGAAAAAGAAGAAAGTCCAAAAAAGCCCCTTTGGGACAAGGCAAGTGCGTGGCGTCCTTCCCACCACACACCCCTCTACCAGTCAGGAGCTAAAGGGAGGTGTAACCTTCTGCCAATATTTGTGAGTTGCCCAGATTTGCCAAAGGAATCATTTGTACACCTTACTGGTAGGTCTGTGATCTAGAATTCCACCTTGACTTCAACTCTTGCCAGAATCGTGGCAGAAATTTTAGATTTGGGTTGCGAAAAGAGGAGTCCCAAATGCTTGTGCCAGGTAGCGCTTTTAATGTTTTTTATATTTATCAGGGTAATGAAATACATTTGGAAAATGGGCTTTTCCCAAGAGCTCTTTAATTAAAAACTCCAGAGGAAAAGAAAGACAGGAAGAGGACGTTGTGTCATTGGAAAACTATACTTGAAACTAGTGTTCTCGTGCTTGGAGGAAATATTAAACTCAGAAAACCATGATTTTGTTGTGTAATTTTGGTTTTGTACTGTGCGTGTGCTTGGGAACTGTGATAAGCTAGGGAGGCATTCATAAGGTCTGGAGCAGGAGGGAGGAGGCTGTAGTGTTACAATCTTTACTACCACACAAATTTCACATTGTCAGCTAAGCAGATAGAAAGGGGGAAAAGAGGTTAGGGGGACAGAGAAAGTCAGCTGTAGTGATGACAGTAGATGGGAGGGGAAGTTCCCCCCCCTTCTTATAAACCTTGAGCAAAGAGGGAAGGGATGGTCATCAGGTTTCAGATATACAAAATAACATTTCTGTGCAACTTCTGAACAACTTTATGTCGCACCAAACAATCAGAGCCTCAGGACTCTTCTCCATTTATTTGCCCACCAGTGACTTTCAAGCAATGCCTCCATGTGAAGAGGCAGCACACCTTGAATCTCTGTTTTGGGTAAGGGAGAAGGAGGGGAAACTTTTTTTTCCGGCTTTTGGATTGCCTGGAAGTATCGTAATGGTCCTGACCATATCTGCACTGGACTTTTGGTCTCACAGACAGATATTTATTTGCACACATATAAAAGACATTTATTTAATAAATAGGATTAAAAAAAAACAACAGTTCAAACAATGAGAAAGTCCATTTTGGCAAGGACTTTTGGTGGACCTGGAAGCGGCTGAGAGGCACTGCCGTAGCCCAGAGGAAAAAAGGGTCTGGGGGCTTCTCACCGTGGTTTAACAGGCCACTGACCGTGGTCCAGTGTCCAGACCTTGAGTGAAGTCTTGTGTGGGGAGCGAAGATCTGGCTGTCACTCACTGGAGGCCCTCATCTGCTTGCAGAAGGCATCAAACTGTTGCTGTTCCAGCTCCGTCATCACCCGGTTGAGGGCATAGATCTGCAGACCAAAGCAGAGGTTACACCGTTGTCCCCAAACTCTTCAACTCACAAAATTGTTTATCCACCCCCAAACATTTATTATAGGAAAATAATCTGATAAATACTATTTTAACAGTTCAATACCAATAATAATAACAATCCAAACAACATCTGCTTATCTTAGGTCCTTGGAAAAGGCTTGATACATGGTGAAAAATGCCAAAACCAAACATTTCCCAGAATGCACAATGAATAACTTAAGATGGTCCCACTGACCCTTGCGGGGGGTGGGGTGGTCAATATTGACATTTTTGGATTAGACCCAAAACGTCCCAGCCCTCAGGGGCAGACAAATGGAAAGCTGCCAATAGGATCCCCTCCCACAAAAATCAAGAGGCTTGCCTTGCAACTGTTTTAGGGCCTAGAGCAGGGCTGGGGAACCTTGGCTCTTTTATGACTGGTGGACTTCAACTCCCAGAATTCCTGAGCCAGCATGGGGGAAACTTTGGCCCCCTCATGACTCGTGGACTTCAACTCCCAGAATTCCTGAGCCATCCATGGCTCAGCTTGGAAACCTCTCTTTCCCCTCAGCGTGGCTGGCTGAGGAATTCTGGGAGTTGAAGTCCACCAGTCATGAAGGGGGCCAGTTTCCCCCATGCTGGCTCAGGAATTCTGGGAGTTGAAGTCCACCAGTCATAAAAAAGCCCAGGTTGCCTACCCCTGGGCTAGAGAAAAAAAGTCTTCCCCTTAGCCTACCCAAAATTATTTGATCTTTATCCCACTTTTATTACCTAACCCAGGTAGTCCTCGACTTACAACCATTCATTTAGTGACCTTTCAAAGTTACAACGGCACTGGAAAAAGTGACTTACGACCATTTTTGACACTTACGACCGTTGCAGCATCCCCGTGGTCACATGATCAAAATTAAGACGTTTGACAACTGGCTCACATTTATGACGGGTCACAGTGTCCGTGTCCGTGTGACGTGATCCCCTTTTGCTACCTTCTGACAAGCGGTCAATGGGGGAGCCGGATTCACTTAACCGTGTGGTTCACTTAACAACCGCAGGAACTTCATTTAGCAAACGCCTCGCTTAGCGACGGAAATGTCGGGCTCCACTATGGTCGTAAGTCGAGGACCGCCTGTACTCACACTGAGGATCAACCCCCCCTAAAGAGCAAAGGGGGGGGCTTGACAATAGCAGCGTGCCCCATAAGTCCAAGGCTTCCCCTACCCCAAAAATCTCTCCTCAGGAGCCCCCTAAGCCAGACGCAACAGTGGCGGGGAGTTCCCCAGGCGCGGAGGCTTCTCCACACACACACACACACACACCGCCGTCAATAGAGCTTCATGCCCTGTGGGGGGAGCTCAGAGAAGCGTTTCGTAGGCCGCAGCCCTATTTTCAGACGGGCCCCCGCCTCAGGGCTCTCCTCAGAGACGGCCGCCCACCTCGGCGCGCTGCCGCTGCTTCAGCTCCTGCTGGGCCGAGCGCTGCTTGGCCTTCTCCAGGCGGGCGTTGCCGCCGCCGCCCCCGCCGCCGGACCCGGGGCCCTCCTTGCCCTTGGCGGGCGGCAGCACCAGCGGCGGCGGCGGGCCCTTTTCGCGCCGGCCCCCGCCGGGCTCCATTCCCCTCAGCCCGACCAAGATGGCGGCCGAGCAGCGCCTCAGCGCGCAGGCGTCACTCTTCTACCGCGTCACAGAGCCTACCATCGACGACGGCGCGGCCCAGAGCGGCCTCACGCCCCTGCGTCAGGCGCTGCTTCCGGTCCGGGCACCGGAAGTCCTGAACGCCTCCCGAGAAGGCGGAGAGGAGATCGGTTCCGTTGGGTCGGGCGGGGTCCGTTTTGTGGGCGGGGCCTCCACTGCGCAGGCGCCTGGCGAGCTCGGCGGGCTGAGGGAGAAGCCGCCATGGCGGTGCCGGCGCCGGGCTGCAGCCTGAAGGACGAGCTGCTGTGCCCGATCTGCCTGGGCCTCTACCAGGAGCCAGTCAGCTTCGGCTGCGAGCACTACTTCTGCCGCCGCTGCATCTCCGAGCACTGGAGCCGGCAGGAGGCGCAGGCGGCGCCCGCCCGGGACTGCCCCGAGTGCCGCCGGGCCTTCTCGGCGCCCGCCCTGGCGCCCAGCCTCAAGCTGGCCAACATCGTGGAGCGCTTCGCCGCCTTCCCGCCCGAGGCGGCGCTGGGCGGCGGCGGCGGCGGAGGGAGGGGCGGCCGGGCCGGGGGCTCGCCCTGCGGGAAGGCCCACGCCAAGGTGCGCCTCTTCTGCCTGACCGACCGCGCCGTCGTCTGCTTCTTCTGCGACCGGCCCGCCCTGCACGAGCAGCACCAGGTCACCGGCCTGGACGAGGCCTTCGAGGAGATGCAGGTGGGGGAGGGGCAGGGGGGAGGGGCTTCCCTGGGGGGCAGCTCTGGCCCCTCCCCCGGGCCAGGCCCTGGGGGGGGCTCCCTGACTCCCGGGATGGGGGCCAGGCTGGCATGGGGGCACCTGGGGTCTGCTCTGTCTCTCCAGGGGGGGAGGGGCACTTGGGGCCCTGCCTTGTCCCCCATTCCAGGCCCTGGGGGCTCCCAGGCTGTCATGGGGGCAGCTGGGGCCTGCAATGTCTCCGGGGTGGGTGCCACGCTGGCCAGGAGGCACTCCTGCTTCCCTGGGTGGGGCAGCTGGGGCCCTGCTTTGCTCCCCATGCCAGGCCCTGGGGACTCCCTGACTCCCCAGCATATGCCAGACTGGCATGGGGGCAGCTAGGGTCTTATGTCTTTGCGGTTTGTGCCAGGCTGGCTAAGAGGCACTCCTGCTTCCCTGGGTGGGGCAGCCGGGGCCCTACTTTGCTCCCCATGCCAGGCCCTGGGGACTCCCCAGGATGTGCCAGGCTGGCATGGGGCAGCTGGGATCTATTATGTCTTTGGGGTGGGTGCCAGGCTGGCCAAGGGGGACTCCTGCTTCCCTTGGGAGAGGGCAGCTACAGCCTTACTTTGCCTCCCATGCCAGGCCATGGAGACTCTCCGTTTCCCCAGGATGGGTGCCATGCTGGCAGCTGGGATCTGCAATGTCTCCGGGGTGGGTGCCAGGCTGGCCAAGAGGCACTCCTGCTTCCATGGGTGGGGCAGCCGGGGCCCTGCTTTGCCTCCCACGCTTGGTCATCAGGACTCCCTGTCTCCCCAGGATGGGTGTCAGGCTGGCATGGGGGCAGCTAGGGTCTATTATGTCTTTGGGATGGGTGCCAGGCTGGCCAATTGGACTCCTGCTTCCCTGGGGGGGGGGACCTCTGGGGCCCTACTCTGTCCCTGTTGTGGAGCAGCCGTAGAGTGGGAGGGGCTTCCTGGTTCTCCATGGTGGATGCTCCTAGTGGGGTGGGTGCCTGCTCTACCCCATCCTGTTGGGGGCTGCCCAGACACAGCCAAGAGCCCCTCACCCCAATGCCGGTCTCTCATTCCAGAGGGAACTGAAGGAGCAGCTGCAGACCCTCCAGGACAGCGAGCGTGGCCACACGGAGGCCTTGGCTCTGCTGAAGCACCAGCTGGCCGAGACCAAGGTAAGGGCCGGGCGGGGGCTCTGCCCCGGGCATTCCCATCCTCTGGGGGCCGAGACTTACCCGGTGCCCGCCTGCCTGTGTCTTCCAGTCCTCGGCCAAGAGCCTGCGGGCCACAATCGGCGAGGCCTTTGAGCGGCTGCACAGGCTGCTCCGCGAGCGCCAGAAGGCCATGCTGGAGGAGCTGGAGGCCGACACGGCCCGGACGCTGACCGACATCGAGCAGAAGATCCAGCGCTACAGCCAGCAGCTGCGCAAAGTGCAAGAGGGCAGCCAGATCCTGCAGGAAAGACTGGCGGAAACTGACAAGCACAGCTTCCTGGCGGGCATCGCCTCTCTCTCGGAGAGGTGGGTGGGGCTGGGGGGGCAGCGCCAGGGTGCGGGGCAAGGGGCACCGCAGTGGCTAACCTCAGTATCCTTTCCCACCCCACCCACCCCCCAAGGCTGAAGGGGAAGATCCACGAGACTAACCTCACCTACGAAGACTTCCCCACTTCGAAGTACATGGGGCCTCTGCAGTACACCATTTGGAAATCCCTCTTCCAGGACATCCAGCCAGGTGAGCCGGCTCCTGGCCCAGGTAGATGGCAATAGCAGCTAGACTTATATGCCGCTTCACAGTGCTTTGCAGCACTCTCTAAGCAGTTGACAAGAGTCAGCATATTTGCCCCCAACAATTGGGGTCTTGAGCCAGTCAGGATCGAACTCCTGGCTGTGGGCAGAGTTTGCCTGCAATACTGCATTGTAACACTGCACCACCACAGCTTCCTTCTTATCTTCCTCCCTCCCTCCCAAACAATAAGACTTGTATACCGCTTCACAGTGCTTTGCAGCCCTCTCTAAGTGGTTTACAGAGTGAGCCTTTTACCCGCCCCAACAATCTGAGTCCTCATTTGACTGACTTCGGAAGGATGGAAGGCTGAGTCAACCATGAGCTGGTCACAATCGAACTGCCGAGCTGCTGGCAGCCAGCAGTCAGCAGAAGCAGCCTAATGAGCCGAGGTGGCGCAGCAGTTAGAGTGCAGTACTGCAGGCCACTTTAGCTGACTGTGTTCAGCAGGTCAGCGGTTCAAATCTCACCGGCTCAAGGTTGACTCAGCCTTCCATCCTTCCGGGGTAGGTAAAATGAGGACCCAGATGGTTGGGGGCAATGTAAATATATAGATATACATTGCTTACTGGTGTACACCACTTACAGAGTGCTTGCACTTAAAGCGGTATATAAGACTCATAAATAAATAAAATAATCCTGCATTCTAACCAGTGTGCCACCATCGATGGTAAGGAAAGCCACCCAGGGCCTTCAGACATCCAGATGGCAATTTAACCTCTTCCAAAGGAATTCACTCCCCACGCTTATCCTATTTGGCGTTGACTTCTCTGTGGTGACCCCCTCTGCACAGCATTGAGCTACCCTCCTCCCCTGGAGATCCTCTTCCCCATCCAGGTGACCTCACTCTGGCTTCTCTCTTCCCTCCCCCAGTGCCTGCCATGCTGACCCTGGACCCGGCCACCGCTCACCAGCGCCTGATCCTCTCTGACGACTGCACCATTGTCTCCTACGGCAACTTGCACCCGCAGCCGCTGCAGGACTCGCCCAAGCGCTTCGACGTGGAGGTGTCAGTGCTGGGCTCGGAGGCCTTCAACAGCGGCATCCACTACTGGGAGGTGGTGGTCTCGGAGAAGACCCAGTGGATGATCGGGCTGGCCCACGAGGCCGTCACCCGCAAGGGCAACATCCAGATCCAGCCGAGCCGCGGCTTCTACTGCATCGTCATGCACGACGGGAACCAGTACAGCGCCTGCACGGAGCCCTGGACGCGGCTGAACGTCAAGAGCAAGCTGGAGAAGGTCGGGGTCTTCCTGGACTACGCCAAGGGGCTGCTCATTTTCTACAACGCGGATGATATGGCGTGGCTTTACACCTTCCGGGAGAAGTTCCCCGGGAAACTGTGCTCCTACTTCAGCCCCGGACAGAGCCACGCCAACGGGAAGAACGTGCAGCCGCTCCGGATCAACACCATCCGGATCTAAGGACTCTCCTGGTCTCGTCTCTTCCCGGTGCAGAAAGGAGAAATTAGTCTGATGCTGGCAAAATGTGAGCTTTTCTGGAATACGTTTTCCAGCTGCCAGGACTGAACAAGCAGAGAATCGGGCTAGTAAGGATCCCCTAGGCGGGCAGAGCGGGGAAAGCAGTTCTCGTGAACGATGGGCCTTGGGCTGCCTCCTGGGGATCTAAGACGCTTGCCGCTTCCCGGACGCAGTGAGGAAGGGTATAATGGGGAGTTGGGGGGGCTGTTAAGGTGGAGGGCTGTCTGTGTTCTCATTGTCGGCCTTGTTCAGGCAACTCTTTTGTGTTTGCATGCTTTTCCCCGTCCTGTCATTTTTGCAAAAGTGGGCAGGGAGAGGGAGGGAAGGAAGACCCACACTATGGATCTGAGCTGGTTTTTAATTCCTGCTTCTTAGCCAGGCAGAGAAGCGGAGGGAACAAGCAGACCAGCCAGGAAATAAATAGGGCTAACGGGTCTTTAACGTTCAACGGGAGGTTTGTCTTGTAACCCCTAGGATGTGTTTGTTGTAAAAGGGGGGGAAGTAGAATTATTGGCTGTTTACGGTGTTTAACGGGAGGCTTGGGACGCTTGCCAGCTTCCGCGTTCAAAGACTTGAGGGATGAGGTTGCTTTAGCTGCGTCTACGCAAGCTTCACCTGACCGCTGAATTCATTCATCTCTGTTCTGGGTAGCCTGAACATGCGAAGCCTCCGAAGCCATGCAGGGTCTGCGCTGACCTGTTGGAAGCCCACCGTGTGGTTAAGCAAAGCTGTCCCCGTTTCAGAATACAAGTTGTTAGGAAGGAAAACGTGGTGCTAAATGCAACTGTTCACATGTGACACTCCAAGCTGGCCACAAGAGGGCAGCGTTGGCTTAATTCATGCCATTAAGTGGGATGGGGGGGCTGCCAGGGTGGGGTGTAAAGGGGGTGTCTGGAGGGGGAAGGGGAGGAAAACATTACTGGATGGGTTTGGGCAGGGGGATGGCCAGAGAATTCAGCTGGGGCTCCCGTGCCAGAGGAGAGCTTTTTTATGTACACCTTTAGCCCGTTGCTTCCGTCGAGTCTGTAATTAAAAGATTGGCCAGTAGATGGAGCTGTCTCGCAAGGCTTTATATGTTTTATGAATCTGGGGGGGGGGGAATGGGGGGAGGCTGATGGGGGGGAATCGTCGGGAAGGCTGAGCCAGAACCAAGCGATTTTAGGCTCCGTTTCCGCACTGCGTTTGGTCCCCCGCTCTCCCTGTCTGTGCCTGGCACCCCAAAATTCAGACACTTGAGTGCCGCAAGCCTGGCTGAGACGCTGGTTGTCGGGACGACAGGAAATTCCAGCCGGTTTTGTCTAGCAACACCCCTTGCCAAAGCAAGAATATTCAATATGTTTCATGAGTCAGACTCTGAAGCAGTAGGTGTGAACTTAAATGGACTCCAGAAGATGGTAGAGGACAGGAAGACCCGGAGGAACGTTGTCCATGGGGTCGCGATAGGTCGGACACGACTTCGCAATTAACAACAAAGACTCATGACACCCCTTTTGTTCAAGGCCTGCAGCGTTGGCTGCGTTCACATAGAAGAGTTGTTAAATCTGCCCGTTTTCTATAACGCCACCGAACCCTCAAACGGGACAGATTCGGGCAGCCTAAGAGAGCCGCAAAAAGAATCCCACATTAAATTAACCAAGTTTAGGGGATTAGGTGGAGAGCGACAAAAGATTTTTTCCCCCCTCTCTGCTGAAAGCGTTCATGTCTTCGGTCTCTCTGTCGCTCCGTCCCAGTGGCTTTTCCCCCCACCAAAACCCATCTCTCCAGAACAGCCGGGTCTCTTTCCAATCCGAGCTGAAAAGACTTTTAATTCAACCCCAAACTCCCCCCCTCCCCCAAATTTCCTCAGGTAAGCTGTTATTCTGGCTGTGGAACGGTGCCTGAGTTTGTGGGGGGCAAGGAGTCTGAATAGCAGCACCAGAAGAGGTTTGTTCAAGGGATCATACAAATACGAAATCGTTGCTGCACGTCCTTCTTCCGGAAGGGACACTGCACTCTGCAAAATCCCCCTCCCGGCACACGCTCTGCCAAAATGGCCAGGCCACAACCGTTTGTCACCTCATTTTTATTCCTGTTGTTCCAAAGTGGTCCCCTCCCCAACAAAGGCCGAGAGCTGCAACACGCACCCCCACCTGTGTGGAAGGGGCTTTGTCTTGGCTACGTGAGAGGAGGGGAGGGAAGGAAGGAAAATAGAGAGCGAGAAAGGGAGAAAAGAATGAGTGAGTGAATGAGAGAGGAAGGAAGGAAGGAAGGAAGGAAAATGAGGAAGAAAGGGAAAGGGAGAAAAGAAGAAAGGGAGAAAAGAATGAGTGAGTGAATGAGAGAAAGAAGGAAGGAAAATAAAGGAGCAAGAAAGGAAGAAAGGGAAAAGAAAGGGAGAAAAGAATGAGTGAGTGAGTGAATGAGAGAGGAAGGAAGGAAGGAAAATAAAGAGGGAAGAAGAAAGGGAAAGGGAGAAAAGAAGGGAGAAAAGAATGAGTGAGTGAAAGAGAAAGAAGGAAGGAAAATAAAGGAGCAAGAAAGGGAAAAAAGTGAGTGAGTGAATGAGAGGAAGGAAGGAAAATAAAGAGGGAAGAAGAAAGGGAAAGGGAGAAAAGAATGAGTGAGTGAAAGAGAGAAGGAAGGAAGGAAAATAAAGGAGCGAGAAAGGGAGAAAAGAATGAATGAAAGAACAAGAAGGAAGGAAAATAAAGGGAGGGAGAAAGGGAAAGGCAGAAAAGGAGGAGAAAATGAGTGACCGAATAAAAGAGGAATGAAGGAAAATAAAGAGGGAGGGAGGAATGAAGAAAGGGAAAGAAGGCAGAAAGGGAGAAAAGAATGAGTGAATGAATGAGAGAAAGGAAGGAAAGAAAGAGGGAAAGGGAGAAAAAAAAGAGAGAGAAAGGGAAGGAAAGAAGGAATTTAGGGGGGGGGGGCAAAGAAAACCCACACCACACACACAGTTGTCAGGATACCCCGTTGGGTCCTGCAAACACTCCTTAAAGAGGTTAAGAGTCTCGTGTCCAATCAACACAACACGCTTCTCTGTAGTGTTCAGACAGTTTTTTTCCCCCGCAGCACCTGTGGGCCCACACTCCGGCAGGTCAGCCAGGCACAGAGAGGGCTGTGTGTGTGTGTGTGCGTGTGTGTGTGTGTGTAAGCGGCTCCCCCTCTCGGCTTCCCGGGGAACGGCAGCACCCCCCCCCCCTCAGGGGACCACCTTCCACCAGCTGAAGGCAAAGGGCTTCCGCTGGACGTTGGTGCCGCAGTGGACCTCTCCCAGGAGCTTGTGGTAGGAGGAGATGTCGTCAATGAAGGTGCAGGTCAGCCCCAGGGGCTCCAGCAGGGAGGTGACGTGCTGCTCCAGGCAACACTCCCCCTCGATGATGGGCCCAAAGGGTTTGGGGACGCCCAGGTCTCGGGACAGCACGATCATGTTCACCTGAGAAGGTAAAGAGCCAAAGGGAGGGGCCTCTGAGACCCGTTTCTTGCAAAGTGACGTGCTAAGCAAGGGAGGGGGGCACCACGCACAAGCCCTGGGTGAGTTGGGTCAGTGGGGGTGGGGGGGAGGGAGAGGATTTTGGGGGGGGGGAGGCAGAAATGGCCTTGTGTTTCGGAAGCTGCTGGGGAGGGGATAAGCGAGCACCTGGCAGGACACGGTGGCGCAAAGGTTAGAATGCAGAGTTGTAAGCTGGCTCTGCCCACTGCCAGCAGTTTGATCCCGAATCAGTGGTTGGCTCAGCCTTCTGTCCTTCTGAGGTCGGTAAAATGAGGAGCCAGATTATTGGAGGGGGGGGCAACGGGCTGGCTCTGTAAAGCGCTCAGAGAGGGCTGCAAAGCTCTGAAGTGGTATATAAGTCTAAGTACTATTGGTGTTCCTCCCTCCCTCCCTCCCTCCCTTCCTTCCTTCCTTCCTTCCTTCCTTCCTTCCTTCCTTCCTTCCTTCCTTCCTTCCTTCCTTCCTTCCTTCCTTCTCCTTCCCTACCTTGCTTCTGTGGTGGCACAGTGGTTAGAAGGCAGCATTGCAGGCTGACTGCCCACTGCCAGGAGTTCGATCCTGACCTGTTCAAGGACGACTCAGCCTTCCGTCCTTCCGAGGTCGATAAAATGAGGATCCAGATGGTTGGGAGGGGGTCAACAGGCTGACTCTGTAACCCGCTCAGAGGGGGCTGTCAAGCACTGTACAGCGGTATATAAGTCTTTTAAGCGCTGTTGCTATTATCCGCCCTCCTAGATAATGCAAGGAGGCAGAACAGCAGCTGACCTGCAGCCGCCACCTCCACGGCTCCTTCAGCATCACCAAGGCTGCCATTCCTGATTATTATTATTTGGGGGGGGGGCTTTCCTCACTCCATCCATCAGGCCAACCCAAACCCAGGTCCCATTGTCTGCAGGGGCTGGTTTGGCAAGAAGCAAATGTGCAAATTTTGAAAAGGCGAGAGGCGGGAGGGCAAAGGAAGGTCCAAACAGGTGTTGCCAAGGCTTGGTGGGGCTGGGGGCTTGGAGAGCAGCACCCCCCACCCCCACGCTCACCATGTTGGGAAAGTAAGCCATCGCTTTCCCTTCTCTGTCCATCTTGAAGAGGGCGGGCAGGTCAATAATGTCCTTCTCTTTCAGGCCCAGTTCCTTCTTGAGGATGTCGCGGTTCCAGTCGATGCACCTCTGGGGGGGGGAAGCAGAGGCCAGACCCAGAATTAGGAGACCCCCAAACAGCCCCTTCCCCACTTCTCTGTCAGACAGGGTCCTCCTGGGGGGGCCTCTTCAGTCATGGGACGCCACAGCTTTTGAAGGACACGTCGTAAGACGGGAGAAACGCAACCCCCAAAAGATCCACGAGAAACTACAGGCAGTCCTCAATTTACGGCCACACACAGCCGAGCCGAAAAATTTATGTTGCTAAGTGAGACATTTGTGAGGTGAGTTGGGTCCCATTTGGGGACTTTTCTCGCCACAGTGGCTAAGTGAGCCACACAGTCGTTAAGCGAATCTTGCTTGTCGGAAGGTCGCAAAAAGGGGACCGCGTGACCCCCCCCCTCCCGGGGGACGCTGCGACCGTCGTAAACACGAGTCGGTTGCCAAGCGTCTGAATTCTGATCCCGTGACCGTGTGGATGCTGCGATGGTCGTAAGTGTGAGAAAAGGTCCCAAGTCCCTTTTTTCAGGGCCGTTGTAACTTTGAACGGTCGCTAAATGAACCGTTGTAAGTTGAAGATTTCCTGTATTAGCATCTCCCTTGATGACGACAAAGCCAGCCATACCGTTTTGTGTGCCAAACCTCTCCCTCATCTTGGATTTACTGGGGGACTACAAGGTGGCCCTCCTCACAGGGTTGTCGTGAGGCTGAAATGGAGGTGGGGGAAGCGTTGAGGCTGCTTGGCGGAGTTCCTGACGGGGAGTGGGATGGGGGGGGCGGCGGTCAAAAACGCATCGATCCCTCCATCTATCCATCATCCACTTGCCCCAGGAACCTCTAGATTTCATCTGGAACGTTCCACGGTCTTCCAGAAAAACACCTTTTAAGATAGGTGCAGAAACCCTTCGGAGAGGCAAATGGAAAGCAAGGTTACACACACAGACACACACACACACACACACACCTCCCTGCAAAGCCTCACCTGTACATACTGGTTCTCTTGCACCATAATCTCATTGGAAAGGACCTTGTTGATGGTGACGCGTTTGGTGTCTGTGCCGGAGTATCCTGGAGAGAGAGAAAAGGAGGGAGAGAAAGAGGGAGGGAGAGAAAGAAGGAAGGAGATAGAAAGGGGGAGAAAGAGAGAAGGGAGGGAGAGAGAGGGAAAGGAAGAGGGAAGGAGAGAAAGAAGGAAGAAGAGACAAGGGGAGAAAGAGAAGGGAGAGGGAGGGAGGGAGGGAGAGAGAAAGGGA